GATAAAATCTAAAGTTTTTCAAATTGATTCCTAGTTCGGTAAGGTTTTTTTCGGCGGGTTCTGAGGGAGTGGAAGGGATATGTGTAGAAAAAATTAAATTTAATAAAAAAAAAAGAAAAAAAAAGTAAGGGACTGTGACGACCCGGCCCGTCGTCACGTGAGTTACCGCCCCGTTTCCCTCATTTTATGTTTCTCTATGCTTCATTATCGGTATTGGAGGTGATCGAGTCGAATTGGATTGGTTTTAGATGGAAATGAGACACTTAGTCTCTTTAAGGAAAGCATGTTTTGGAAAAGTCAACCGGAAGTTGACTATTTAGTTAGAGGGCTCGGATGTGATTTCCGATGATTCGGTTAGCTTCGGGGGATGATTTGTGACTTAGCAGTGCAATCGGAATTGGTTTTGGAGGTCTGGTGTAGAATTAGGCTTGAATTGGCGAAGTTAGTATTTTGGCGAATTCTGGTTGGTAGGTGAGATTTTGATCCGGAGGTCGGAATGGAATTCCGGGAGTTGCAGTAGTTCCGTTAGGTGATTATGGATGTGTGTGCAAAATTTCAGGTCATTCGGAGGTGTTTTGGTCGGGTTTTTGATCAAATGCGTAATTCGGAAGTTTTGAAGAAACTTAGGCTTGAATTCGATGTGATTTAATGGTGTTGGCGTTGTTTGATGTGTTTTGAAGATTGGAACAAGTTTGAATAATGTTTTAGGATGTGTTGGTGCTTTTGGTTGAGGTCCCGGGGGCCTCGGGGTGGTTTCGGGTGGTCAATCGGACCATTTTTGGACTTCAAAAGTAGCAGATTTTCAGCTGTTGGTGTTGCAGAGATTCACCCTTCGCGTTCGCGTGGGCGATGTCGCGAACGCGTAGAGGAAATTGGAGGGGCTTGGAAGTTTGGTCTACGCGTCCGCGTGGAAGAGGGCCGCGTTCGCAATGTTATGGAAGGCAAAGCATCGCGTTCGCGTTGGAGGTAACGCGTTCGCGTAGGAGGAAATCAGGGCCTTGTGAAGTTGTTCAATGCGTTCGCGTCATAGGGCACGCGTTCGCGTAGGTAGAGTTTCTTATGGTTCGCGTTCGCGTGCTGGGAGCCGCATTCGCGTAGAGTTAAATTTTGGTCAACAATTTCTGGTTATCGCGAACGCGGGGGTGTTGACCGCGTTCGCGTAGGGTAAATTGCACCTGGGCAGAAGGGTTTTTTAAATCATATCATCCGCGAAGCTTGGTCCATTTTCCTCCATTGTTGAGCACCTTGAGAGCTTTTTGGTAGAAATTGAAGAGGATTTCGACGGGAACTGATTGGAGGTGAGTCCTATGGCCTAGAAACATCATTTTATTGAAGAATCAAACCTGTAAAATCCCTGGAAAATTTGGGTAAAAAATTGGAAGAACTAGGGCTTGATTTTTGAAATGAAAATTTGGGATTGTAGGGGCGATTTGAAGTCCGATTTTGGTAAATTTGATATGTACGAACTCGTGGCGAGACGAGGAATCCGGTGATGTGAATTTCATAATTTTTCGAGAAGTGGGCCCGGAGCTCCGGTTTTGCCAACTTCGTGATTTTGATAATTTTCGAGTCAATTCGATTGGGTTATGTTCCCTTAGCCTATTGTAATGTATTCCTTGTGGTTTTGACCAGATTCTACGCACGAGGAGGTTAATTTGCGAGGCAAGGGGATAGCGAGCTAGGACTTTGGCCAGTTTGAGGTGAGTAATGGTTACAAATGATGTTCTGAGGGTTTGAAACCCCGGAATTGCACTATGTGGTGCTATGTGAGATGAGACACGCGCCGTATGATGAGCGTGGTGCTAGTTACTGCTAGGGATTCGGACTCGGTCCATCCCGATTGATGACTCTACTGTATTTTTGACGGAGACTTAATTAATATCAGTATATTTTGGGCTAGTTGCCATGTTTGGGGCCTTGTGCCGATCTGTAGAACCCTTAGGGGGTATGTT